GAATAGTATTATATAGATTTTTATCTATAGTTATAATCTAAAAAATTTATTTTTCGAATTATCTAACTATATCTGATATAATAACTATTAATTATAACTAGTAATAACTCTATATATAAAATAAATTAAAAGAAATATAATAAATACTATAAAATTATTAATAATTAATTATAGATTAATTTACAATTATTAACCTAATTACTATAATCTAATCTACTCTAGCCTATAGTTAACCGCGGTTAAGAGATTAATTAACCTTAATCTAACCTAACCGGTATCAGTTAAGGAATTTTATACCTTAACCTAACCGAGGCCGGTTAGGTTAGGTTATGGCTAGGTTACAGCGGTTAGGTTATACCACTCTAGTCAGATTTAGTAATTATAGAACAGAATAAATTATCAAAACAAGATAGTTATTTAACAAAATCCTATATTATCTATCTAAAAAAAGACCTTCTACTGATCTACAAGCCTGGAACTATATTCTAACAGGATAATACAAAAATTCATATTTCCTACAAAGTACAGGACTAGTTTGAATCCCACGGGATTTGGGTCCTAGAATAGCCGCCCTATTCACCTAATTTAAACCCTATAGAGTATATCTGGGCCCTACTAAAATACAAGCTTTTAGAGCTCTACCCTATACTTTTTCTAGACAGAAGGTCAGAAATTGACTGGACCCTATTTAAAAGGTATATTAGGGAGGCCTGGTAAACTATCCTACAAGAGATTATAGATCGCCTAATTCTATCTATATCTTGCAGACTTCAGGCAGTATATTAAGTATATGGTTGGTATATAAAGTATTGATATAGGGATTCTATAGAACTAATTTGTAGATCGATATTTTTTGAAATGGTTAAGAAAATTGAGTTTGAATTTGTTACATTTCTCCGATTTTTTCGGGTGTCTTCAGACTTTTGACCTACTAGTTTATATAGGCACAAGTTTGAGATGAATCGTGAACGGCTAGTTTCAACCTACCAAAGTACAGAAACCGCTCTGCATGGCTGACTCATCACGGTCTACACCTACCTTGCTACTAGTAGATACCAATTGTGACAGGCCAGCTTGAACCTACTAGTGGATCCCAGTTCGTCCTGCGTGGTTGAACCTCTACTCGATCGCACCTTCCAAGACCAGACCAGACATACACTCGTCACTGGTATAAGCATATTCAGGTATCCTCTCACCAACAATTCGCCAATATATTCCAACACTATCCAGCAACAGCTCCTTGATTACGTTTCAGCCTCACTCATCTCCGACAACATGCCTGGCCATGATATTGCTTACCCCCAGTTACCCTCCGGATTGGATGGAGTGACCAGCGCGAGTTCCAAGCTGCAACCGTGACAAATCCCTCGGAAAGTAATGATTTACTATCAAACTATGACAGTCCCTCTGAAGGATCTGGCTGTCGCGTACCTCGTTGAGAGCTGGCTCCAAATTGAAACAGCAACGCACCTCATTATTGGGTGCTTCAATCTAGGCTGCAATGGATATTTATATCTTAACGACTTCACCCCCGACCACAGAAGCTTCACGGTGGCAGGACAAGCAGACCCTACAACAAAGGGCACTCAAGGTGATGGCGATGCTTGGAGGAGCATGCCTTGGCAGCTTCATCGTGCTAGACGACGATAAGAGTTTCCAGGAGTGCTACAGGACCCTGCACAACATCCTTGTCAAGTAAAAGTTGGATGAGATCGAACAGGACATCGAGGAACCAATGTCCCAAAATGGTATTAATCGCCTCGTTGATCGCCTCCGAGCGGATTTCGGCCCTGACTTTCTTATCACCCTTGCCCCTGTTGCTACGGCTTTGCAGGGTAAGGCCCACCTGTGTGGGTTCAACTATCTGCGTTTTGAGGGTGAACATGGCAACAAGATTGATGTCTATAACACCCAGTTCTACAACGGCTGGGGGAGCCTCGCAACAACCAAGGACTATGACGCTATTTCGAATACAACGCCCGATATCGATATGCACCACTTCACCCGTCCTCTCGTCTATTAACCCATGGAGAGCACTTCATTTCTGTCTACATTATTACTAGTAGTATAGTTTCACCCTCTTTTCACTTTCCCAATGTTTTCTTCTTCGTGGTTCAATCACTTCTATCATAATGATATATTCACAGCCAACCTTTCCTACATCGAGAGTTTAACTGTACCAAGACGATAGTTGCATTAATAGCGCTTAGTATAATAGAAGAACTGGCTTTATAATATGGGTAAAAGGCCTTATAATAGGCGGTAATCTAGGTCTTATATCTCTCTTATTTTCATTTAGCAAGTTATAGTCGGTGGCGGCAGCGGTCATGTTATACTAACGGATCCTGCACTAAATGGTAATTACTACCAGAGTAATATAATATTTACAGGGCACTCCTGGAATATATGAGGACTGCCAGAGGTCCAAGAGGACCTATTTATGGGCAGAATACAACAACATCACAAAACCGCGTTTCTCGAGTTAAAGAGATACACATAATCTCTAAGAGGTAAATAGAGCTAGGTCCTACGGTAAGACGTTGATGAGCTTGAATAGTAGTTCAGTTGAAGTGGCGAACGGTGGTTTAATCTCTCGATATAAGCTCCCTGTTGGGTAAAGCAGCTTCTCTTGCGATCTTACGCTACTAGTCTGTCATGTGCGTTTATTTAGCAATCGAATAGCTTAGAATGAAATTAGACACAACTTTCGTGTTTACTGGTCAGAGCCTACTATTAGTACTAGGTTTAAACTAGCTGGAAATGATTTGGACCTACCGAAACGAGTTGGTTTTGTTGATGTAGTTCCTATGCAACGCTTTCTGGCATTCCTTCATTTCTTTTTATCATTCATTCTTTCATCTGTTGATTCTCTTCCCTCTTGCTTCCGTTTACCAAGTAGCATAAAGATTTTGGATATCGAAGTCTTGGCTAGACTATGCAAACGAATATCATTCGAACCAGCGAATGACATCATTGAAACTAATAGGAGTCTTATTGATAGTACAGCATATGTGTAAAGCATTATTATACAGGCACTTTCTGCATCCTGTCCAGCTCTATCTCCAACCCTTCGTCTGTAAAAGTCGTTGAGCTTTTAGAATGGGCCGGCTCGGTCAGCTTGACCGTACTCGACGAGGCCCGCCTCGACCGTTCAGCGGAGATGGACTTTCGAGATGTGCTTCTGCTGAAAACCGACTTGATCCCTCTTGCGGTGCCGACAAAATCCACATAGGGCTTGTACTGGTTAAAAAAGACACGAGCCGCGGGTAAACTCGAACATGTAATCGCAATAAGCAATTCCATCATCGCCAGCATCCAGCAATACCAACTAGTCCACGATGCATCGTAAGAGACATAGTACAATCGGACAATGAAGTAGAGCCTTATTCCCGCAATAACGGGAGTCAAGTATCCCACAACGAAAATGGAACCTAGAGCGATCTTCTCACGGAACGAGATCCGCAGGTTCCAACACAAGATCGCGGGAAGCGTAGTCACAACCGCATCTTGGATGAGTGCGACCCCTGTCGCGACGATGATATGTACCGCTTCATTATAGCATTTCCATGTATGCGATGCTGCCCATACCGGGTTGATTTGATCCCAATAGGCGTGGAGTGGTTGACAGGAACCGAATATCGCCGCAAGGAAGGCAACACTGTATCCAATGACGGAGAATATACTGATCCACGTGGCGAGCATGAAACCCTGCGATATCGATCGGAATCCCATTCGTCGGTAGAACAGGAGGACGGAAATTCGCACGAATCCAGAGCCGAGCACGTAAAGCATCTCCATGGCGAGTGCCACTTGGCGTTGTGCGATGAGCTTGGGTAGTGTATTGTCCCATGTGTGGAGGTTTGCGCCGTAGACTTCCGAGCCTAGCATCATCAGTTTCTGATCTTTGGGCGAGGTTATAATGGAGAAGGGCGCACTCAGGACAAATGCGATCGCTAACCCGAGAACAGGGATCTAATACGTCAGCTCTTTGACGATGATAGTGTACGCAATAAAGGCAACATACCACAGCCAGTCCAGCACAGACATCATCCCAACCACCTCGACGCTGGATAACACATCTCGCCCAAAGCCGTACCCCAACCGTAGCCAGCGCAATGCCACCAAATACGGACGCCAGGACAATACTCGACGGCCCATGCGATTCGGGGTCGGTCATATTCGGCTTCGGCCACGATGCCATTACTTCAGGTGGCGGACGTATACCTCCGGGCATTGTGGTCAATGCCAGAAGACAGGTTCACGCCCGCCACAGGAAGTGGGGAGAAATTAACGAGATAAAGGGGCCACAAGAGGGGTGAAGAAGAGTGGGGTGTTGGAGGATGTGACATGTCTACTTCGCGTGGCTAGTATCTACAGACCGTTGTTACAGTTAAATATCGGGCGTACCTTTGTCAATCTTAGCTGTTTTGTACAGTCAGCGACGTCATGATCCCCAGCTATATGCAGTGTCCATATCAAACCCTAACTTGGTGGAGAAAGATCCACTTTGAGAGACATCGGAGAAACGTTGGAGGTTGCAAACTTTCCTTCGCCCGACTCGCGCCCTTGGCGATAGCGAGAGATATGGCTCGGTCTGTGGTTTCCTCATTCAGAGAAGAATGGTGGAAATTAAAAATCTTTTTCCCCATGCCTCATATATGTCTCAGACTAGTTCTAAAACGCGAGGCGATCGATCTGCTGGTTAAATTAAGCGAAGATCTTTATCATATGATGTTGTAAGCTAAGTAAATTAGTTACCAGTCCTCCCTATAACGCACGTTCTAGACCGGTGTGAGAATGTATGGCCGAGTCGGGATCTTGTCGGGAACATGCATTTGGTAAGGTGACTTGATAATTCGGCATCTCAACCGCAAAGGATACCCTCAGGGGAAAGGATACGACAAAGTTCTACGATCCATGTCAAGCAAAACCTTTGGAATTCAAGCAAGCTTGGGCATTCCGTTCGTTGGGGGTGAAAATGATCTGCCGATGGCGCCGAAGCTTAACAAATCCGTGGCTCCTATTGGCTGCGATACCGAACCCTAAGACGTTTATGCTCGGAAACTTTCGGGTGGGTCGGATTTGCACCAACAGAATAGGATAAAATACCAGCTTATTCCACTTGACACAAATTTCGGTTCCTGAAGGATCACTTAGTCTCAGTATGCCAACTTTTAAGTCTCAGATTAGAGTTATGGAGGATCAAACTGAGTTCTCAACGAGATGGAAACGGTAGTTCAGACGAGCATAGGCCAGGGTAAAACACAGTTTGATCGCCCACGACCAAGTGCTGATTCTTGTGTTTCAGAGGGTCTGTCCTTGACCCTGTTTTACACTGCACCTAGTGTAGTCTATGCTTTGGCTGAGGAGCTAGTGACTAAGGCGATGCGTGTACTAAGGCTGCACTATATCCCTCCCACGCTAAATACGGAACCCCAACTTCCACTTTTGGACAACTAATAGGTGAAATAAAATCCCTCACCTTAAATGTCTGCCCTAATTTTGGGGTAATCGACAACACTACTGTTCAACTGAATGTCGTTGTAGAAAGCACAAGGGAGGTGTAGCTTAGACACCCTGGCGTTCCCAGTGGCCATTATCATCCTAGACCAATGCCTGATGATGGCTCACCTGCAGGGATCTGGGCGGACTTCTTCTCCATCATCGGCTCCACGTAGCTAAGAGTCCACTGTCTGGCCTGAGCGTCCTGTATGTCGTTGGAATTGTGTGCGTCAACCCTGGCTCATGGTTCCACGCTAACTCTGCCGAACCACAGGACAACTGCTGCCATACCAGCCACGATGGCAGTGGAGAAGAGTGGTATTCCAGGACCCGCTATGGGATCCTCAACGGTGTGCTTCCCCATTGGTTTCTTTTCTCTGCGCCGTACTTGTATTACTGGTAGAACTGCTTAGGTACCTTTCGGGATTTGCATTCCGTTGCCTTTCTTTGCCTTTTTTCTCTAATGCTTGCTTCCTCCCTGTTCATCTCTTACATATACTTTTACCAAGTCCATTTAGAATGGCGCTGGGGTTACAGTGACTCCCTCAATATACGGCTCACAGGAAAGGACGATGCTATATGAGCAGTCTAGGATAACACTTTAGACTTACCGCTAACTCCTTTAGCATGTCAAATGGCCATACTATGGTCAGTATTAAAGCAAGTCAACCCACGAGTCACTTGGCCGTTGATCATGTGACAACCTAATATTAGTTGTTCCTTTTGCCCTAAAACTCCTTTAGGCACTTAAGTTCGCACCCTAGGTTAGACTAGCTTCAGGGGCAACTGATCTTTAATTTTGATTTTCCACATAGAGGTATTTAGACAATTACGTCTACCTCTCACTCTAATTGATGAGTTTTAATTTTACTAGATTACAAAAGTCAGACACGGAATTGCCGATCCTGGTAAGGGGTCAGGGTCGGGGTTCAGCTAAAAATATTTATTCTGTGATCAAAATGGGGATCGGAAAGTAGCCGACTGCTTTGCTAAAGCTTTGGCAAACTTTATTGGCAAGGATCTGGGCACTAATAGCTGAATATGGTAAATGGTTCATAGTGATCTTTGATCCATGTGGGTACAATGGTCCGAATTTGGCTTCCTGCAGATTGGCTCACTGTACTATTGGATTTTAATGTGCAGGTCCTTCTCGACTTGGAAAGTGGAACTCATGAATTTGGGGGAAAGATTAGATTTGTCTTCAGGTTATCATGTGTTTAAAGGACCAATGTGAAACATTGTATAGAGGAGTAAGAGAGGGCTCTACTAAGTCAAGTATAAATTGTAACTATTGTAGCGATACTTCGTTCGAGCGTTTCTATAAATGGTAGCATTGACGGGTGTATATATAGTACTTAACAGGCTGTCGATGCCCTCTTGAGCATTCTGTTCACACACAGTAGATGCAAGTGGCAACGACGTCCAGGACAGTAGAGGCCTCTCGGGCCATAGTGATGTGAACAAAGAAACACAATCCATCATTTGTTCATGTGTCATGGTTTCACCTTCATCCGTCCATTTTCTATGGTTTCTCAGTTTTGCACCTTTATAACAGCTAAGCACTGACTAGGCTTATACGTTTGCATCAAACCATTTTATTACATCAATATGTAATACATTTTGTACGGCCCTCTTCATTTGAATACTTTATAAGACTAGTGAAAGATGTCCGAGCCCCTGCGGTATCTTTGCACAAGTTAGAAATTGTCTAGTCTGGCGTGCAGCCATATGGCATCATGATTAACAAATACGTCAAATATCCTACAAACATGGCAAATTTCTATCAGGGAAGTGCCCAAATGACATACTCCTATGCATTCTGAAATATTGTGCTGGATCAACTAAGAATACATAACCAGCACCTATAATTCACATATATTATTGGTCTTTGACCTCAACCCATTCAGCTTGATTCTCAGCGGACCCGCCTCAAGGGCTACGAATGCCTTCCGCTCAAGCATTTCCAATAATTCAATTAGCGCGTCAACCACTCCAACAGAAGGCCCAGAGCTAGCGAGGACACTGAATGCAGCATCTTCTGCCATTGATGGACTGGTTATATAGGCATAGACGTACGTTTTCTCGTCTAGAAAAAATAGTAATGTCAAGGATTGTGGTCGAAAAACAACGCACACGATATCCCTGTGTCTTCAGTCTTTCGTTGCACTGTCTGCCTCCCGGTAATAAGGTCGATGTTCAAATATTCAGGCCATACGACTTTTGCATTTGCTATCGTCTAACATATCAACTTCATGCTATAGTTGCTCGGGGCTTGAAAGAGCTACCTAAGACCTGCTCACGAAGTAGTGGCACGTGCATATAACGCAGGAGGGTTTCTCGTTCCTCGTAGCGAAGGGAGGTTACCACTCTATCGGCCATGCCTTTCTGCGAAAAAAACAGCAATAAGCTAGAAGCTGTTAGTTTGGTTTGGATGGGTAAATGATTGAGCGCCTCTGCTTTCAGCGCATCTGTTCAGCTGATGACCACGTGATGAGGGGTTGAAGGCAGGCGCTGATCGTCACATCAATGCTGCTGACGTTGAAGCCTGGCCAATCAATGTGAACTGTATAGACTGGTGTCTATTTATGTCGCACATATAGAATATTCCTGAGCTGGAACAACATGTTTTCTTGTCTCACTAGAACTTGCTGACACCATACCCTACGGCTAAGCAGTCTGAAGAGGAAGTCCATTACAACGTCATCCCTGTGTCCCATTCATCAACCATCGCCCTACAGTTTGAGCTCCATGCTCGCAATGATCACTAGTTCAGGGACCGTAATTGGTAGCGGCGGGACTTAAAGGAATAGGATATATATCTAGTTGTACACCTCATTTTTTTGGAAGTTGTGTGAGCTTATGTCAACTCCACTCGACCAAAATGCCATGGACATGAAGGTCGCGCGTTGAACCCTTTATCCCCAATAGTTTATTTATAGTATCGATAAATGACTCCGATCTGTAAAGACTCCATCAATCTATCTCCCAATGTTAGAGCGTGGGCTAACGGTGAATCTCCCTTTACACAGATTCTGTATTCGACATGGTCTTATTAATACCTACTAAAGGGCACCTGAGTACATGTTGCTCTCAAGGCCCTAATCGAACTATATCTCTCACACGAATCATGTAATGGAAAATAATCACTTCATGACGTTCATATCTGCGTAGCATCTCTACCTAGATGGCTATGTGCATGCATGAAAACCTACTTGAGTCGACAATATCCTCGCAAAGCAGGCCTCCTCCCGTTCTTTTCCTTCCGTAATAAGCTCTTCCACCTGAAGAAATAGTGATTCTAGACCACAAATCAGGTCTCATGGGGTGGCGTCTATCGTTTCTTAGAACCTCTTAGGAGCTCTGTAGTTGACGGTGACGTGGCAAGAGTCACAGTTGTTGGTCCCGTAGCTTCCCTTGTGGTGACCACAGGAGTCCAGGATTGATTGTGCTGTGTCACGGATGTTCTTGCCGCTGAGCTTCTGTTCACCAGCACCGTTGGTAGCGTAGACCATGTAGCAATTTCCGACGGAGAATTCAGAGCCGTCGCCGTAGTCCGAACCTTCATCGATTCTCCGGATCGCCTCCTGGCAATCAGTAATACTGGGAGAATTGCTAGAGCCCTTGCAGCTTTACAGGCGATTGTCATTAGCAAGTTCGAACAGGGCATAATAAGTCCACTTACTTGTTGGAGTAGGCAAGGCTGCCGGTCACAAGAAGTGCGACGTTGACGAGGGTAGTGAACTTCATTGTGGATGGTTTAAAGGGTGGTTTGGTTGGAAGTGTGTTGATTCTGGGAGCGCTGGGTGTGTTGGAGTATGATTCCTATGTGATCCAAAGCCGGGGAGTTTCCCTCCTTTTATAATTGAGATAGGCTCTCATGGTGAGCAGTTTTGAAGGTGAGGGATACGTTGAACGGCTGGTGTAGACTAAGACAGACCCCAATTCAAGCAATCCTCCTCGCTGGAGATCTCGTGTTGCTCTCGCGAATAGAAGCTCACTGTTATTGTTGGGAGCCATCTGATGTAAGGAGAACTGTGATGCAGGCCACTATCCACATCATAGCCCCATCACGGAATTGAATCTCCTCCGATGCAGCTCCCTTCCTATACAGGAAGGAGAAGCCTCGTCAGACATCTGTTTCTACTACACTTTCCTTGTCCCCAGAACATATATGGTCCTATCCTTGCTGAAGCAGTGTTCGCCTGTAGAATCCTCAGTAATCCATAGTTTTGGCTATCCTAAGCTATAACAAAACCAGCAATCTCCATTATCAATGCCGTCCAATCGTCTTCAGCATCGTGATAAGCATTTGTGTGGTTGTTTAACCGCGTGTTATCCCTTGCTGCAGCGCCCCACATATACCTGCAGCGTGTGAGAGCACACCGATCATCAGGCTGTGCCATGTCTAAAGATGGAAGGTTATTTAATAACGTTGCAACAAGAATGGGGCCCCAAACCCCGATGGGCCCACAGTGGACACGCGGAAATCTACTATTACCTCGGGTTGCGATCGATTCCAAACCTTTCTCCAACTACGTTGAGTCAGGACCAACCTCGTCCATTTTACGCATATGGAAGAGAAGGCAGAGCTTCAGGTACGGGAGATTGAGCACAAGCAGAAACCATGTAAAATGCTTTGTTGTTCTTGATACTGAGAGTCTCCGTAGATTGAGATCGAGGTCCAACGAATCACGTTTCGGGGAGGTATTCCGTAGATGCCCTAAGAAGATCAACCCAATTCCCAGCAGGTACCACGGGGAGTTATGCACACTAATGGAATGTATGACCGAACTTCCCCGCCTCCTGTTCTCACTGCATTGATTAAAACGGAATTTATAACTAACTACTGACATTTCTCCTCGTGATGTGACTGGTCAATCTTGTGGGAAATCCATTACCTAAGGATCAACGTTGCTGCTTGGCTTCAGCCCCAAAACAAAGCATTACTTAGTAGCTTAGAAGTTATACGTCATGCAGCATTTCCGAACTACCCGAATGGCTGAGTCATGTGTAGAGTTAGGCAAGGGTTCGGCTTATTGCGCTGTCTTCGCACCCCTTGTCTGACAAACATCGACCTGACGACGTGGCTTTCTGTTGACTGCTGAAGGAGTTATGATTTCTATGAGGCTGATGTCAAACCACAAGAGCGATCCTTCCCTGAGGCGCTCTCAGAACAGCTATCTTTACTTTCAGGGATTTTGGCGTTAATTGGGTATCGTCACCGCAGATATTATAGGACATTGATCCCGGCTTTGCCGCAGCATCCTGGATACTATCGGTGCTTTTGGTCGCGACCGCCTCATTACTATGTTTCTATCTTCATCTAGGCTACTGTGAGCCTTGCTGTTGTTACATGGATCTTTTATCCGTCATACCCGCAACTTCCAGCTCACTATTTGTCTTTTCGTGCTAAGGTATTGAACTCGGATCGACCACGCCGAGGGAGCCCGCGCAATGAGAACGACTTTATTGCTGCAACCCTGTATGACCGCAGTGGCGAGATCATACGAGGGCACTAGGGCTCTAGTGTCCTTCAGCTTATCAACCTACTCCGAGAGGACAATGCCTTTCCCAGTATATGCGAAAATGATTTTCAGTGGTGACGCTAGCAAAGTCCCACTGCAAGATCTAGAGAAACGCGTTGCATGCAAGACGTCAATTTATACGAGGGCCATCTAAATCTGCATAAGCTCCCCAAAGCCACCATTCCGGGTGGTGAAGAATGAACAAAACGCATTGTGTATTTAATCGAGGCTCGCAATCGGGCTCTTCGACCGTTAGAGATAACACCGCTTCAATACGACAATGATTCTTTATTTAAATGACGTCGCCGTTAATCCCATTGACCCATTACAACTTCTGTTCTCTACCAACGTGGACAACGCAGGGATAGTGCAATACCGCGCCGCTTGTGCCGTTCATTTTATCAACCCCTTCAAATTCTACGATACCTATGCCCCCCGAGATTTAGAAGGTTACAGCATGAGCCTCCCTTTCTTTCCCCTGGTTCTCGGACTCTGGCAGCGGACAAAGCCGGAAGGATCGTCTCGCCGGAAGCGATGCTGTGCGGGTTCGGAGGTGCTGCGGTATGGTAGCGTTCGACGCATAGGACTTCCAAGGTGGTACCGGGCCAAAGACTGAGGTATGCGGGGGCATGACTCCCAGCACAGTTTCGTGCTTTACAAGATATCAACGTGTTTTGGGATGCTACTGAATCCCGTCTCTCTCATGCAGATATCCAGACGACTTGACCGAGACGGGAATTTATATGAACCCGTTCGTGCGTGTGGCATATGATAACCGCACTCTATCTTGGCTTTGGTCGACACGTCGGTTTGAGAGACTCTACTCGATTATCCATAATATCGGTAACCATGTTATCGGTCCGCCATGGGATAACCCTCCCCGAAAGGACGTTCCAGGACATAGTACCCATGAGACTGTCTTCCTTACTGACGAGAAAGAAATTGGCTCTTTTCAGACGCTTGAGGGAATTGGCAGACATGATGGCTTCTGTGGGCGACAAGGGCTGCAGCTCATTGTCCCCGATCGTGAAGAAGACCAGAAAGGTTGGCAGACTGTACCAATGTCGACGCAGGTCTCAGATTGAGGTGTGCGATTTATCTACCTCGACTACGGTGAAATTATGTACTCTTGACAGCTTTGGGAAAATCACCTGAGGTCTATGGGAGGGGTTGACTTCTATCTGGTGGTGTCCGAGTCTTAGTATTGCTCCAGGATTATTGCAATCAGTGGGCCATGCCACGAAGGCTTTGAAGGCTATTGAAGCACTGAAATATAACTAGAGAACATTGGACAACAGTGTGGCTTTGTCTACACCACAAGGTTGAAAAGAAGAAACATGATCGATATTGCAGTCGAAGGAGATCCGCTCCTCTTGTTCTTTGGGGCTGAGTTCGTGATACTTATGTTCGCAAAGCGTTTCGAACTGTTTGGCAAATTCCTCGAAGGAAGACAGGATTGCCCGTTATTACTAACATAATTAGTCCTATGGAATTGGTACTTAAGTAATTAATATCTACATATCTAGAGTAAGATAAATAGAGACTTGAAGAAATATAAGAAGACCAGTCACAGGAACTATCGACTAGGTTACTTAGAATCAGCTCCTGCCATATGCTATTATCAAGTCTTTAGTTCACCAGCGCTGCTGGATTAGAAAAATAATCAATTGGTTTCAATATTGACATAGTACAAGATTCCGCCAATTTCATGTTGTCCAGGCCGCCAAGCAAAATGAATGACTTTTCTGCAAGGGCAATTAGCGTGACTATTTGAGGTATGGGGCTTTGAGCAAATTGTTTCCGGCATAACCACTCTACTCAGGAACTCAGCACAGATGATCAAATAGCATTAACGAAATTATCAAAAAAAAAAAAAAGAAAAAAAAGGGATTACGCTTGCTTTATTAGCAGACAGTGATGAAAAGGCCCAGACTGAAGTAGCGTTAGCCTGCGCTCGATAGAAAGCTGTGTCTATCAAGACGAGTGAACTTACGGCGACGGGTTGAAGTCCTCAAAGAAGTTAAGGTCCGTGGTACCGGCATTTTTCATCTCGAAGGCAATAGTCTCACCAGCGGGACAGGAGAAGGTTGAGACAACGAATGAATTTCCCGGTGAGATCGTGATATCACCTAGGTCCTGAGAGATAGAGGGGGCATTGTCAAAGGTAGTAGAGGTAGTAGCAGCCTTGGAAAGCTTGGAAAAGTTTATCTGGCCGTCACCGCTGAAACTAAAGGAAGAGGTCTGAAGATCAGCTTGCCGGGGAAATAGGAAGACTAATGTGCACGTCTTGCCAGAATCAGACTGGGGAATATCGAAGTTGAATATGCTTGAGATGGTCGAGGTCACCGTGCCGTTGAATGAGTTGCCTAACGGCGTATTGGGAGACTCTGAGTTGACCAGGATGATCAGGTGAGGAAACTCAAAGTTGCCGGATGACAACGTGGTCGGACAGCTACTGCTAGCAGACGAAGTGGCTGACGGGGCAGAGGGGGTAGAGGAGGCAGAGGGTGCGCATGAGTCGGCCTTCAATTGGATGTTTACACACTTCCCGAGGGCCGCGCTAGGAGTGACATGGATGTTCATACCACCGTTCTGGCCAGTGTCACAAGCGAGGAAGTCAGCACCGCCTTGAAACTCTAGCAGACCAGATGGGCTAATAGAGAAACCCGACTCAGGTGTGGCACCCTGATCACACTGGAATTGAGTAGTTGGCGCTAAGCTGTAGGTTAGCTTGTTATAGCTCCTTCCAATATCCGAAAGGTGTGTTATTCACGAGTTAGGATGCAGCCACGGCCACTGCCATCCGTGATAGACCCATCTGGGCTGATACAGAACTGCGCAGGTGACAGGGTATTGTCACCAATACGGTTTTGTCCATCGCTGAGCTGGCCAACGGTGCCCGAGGCACCTCCTGAGGCAGTAAGATGGAAGCAACAATTAGTAGTGCGACCCGTGAGGCCCTGGGCGCTGGCAGCTAGAGCCGCTAAAGTTATGAAGCTTTTCATGATCGTGAATAGTATGGATCTTGAGGCTTGAAGATGAGGTGACTGGAGGTGATAGCACTCTAAGGGAGATACAGCATATTTATGTTTGGGGCTAGGTTGATAGTGTTCCTTGTTTCAAAGAATTGAGACTCGTGAGCCTAGACCAACTGGACACTGACCTGGGAGATATAGTAGACGTCATCGTGAACGAATATTTCTAGATATCTGAGACCTACCAATGAGGCGATGCTTAATGAACACCATCGTGAACTAGATCCCGCTAGCTTCGCGTGCATTGAAATACTGTTCTCGGTAAGTGTAGTCTGGGTGGCGATATCGTTAACCATGGCTCACCAATCTGAGCGCGTAATATGAGTGGCTGCCTCTGACTGCACTGTGAATTACATGCATTAATGTACCAAGTACCATGGTTTGTAGATATTATCCGTTGGTTCGTATAGGTTATTAATAGTATGTACAAGTAGTGACAACACGAAGAAGCTCTCACATAGTGCGTAAAGCCCTATCCGCCTGGAGTCCCTACTACCTTGCCAATTGTACCTCATTCGGGAAGCAATGCCATTTAGGAACTCGGCCACGCAAAACCTACGTTTTTGTTTAAAACATGGGTTCAACGCACGGATAGGAATGGTCGCAATAGACTTTAAGCCCATTGTATATTGAAGGTAACACGATATGGGTGATGTTGTATAAAGGCGTAACTTAATATGATAGGTTGTAGAAACTGTTTAGGGCCGGGGTTAGGATCTAGCCAATGACCATCACTCTATTGTTCCGTATTTGGTACGAACCATAATATCATATCTGAAGGCTAGTTATAAATATTGGCACTGTATATACTCCAAAATAGGAAAGAGTTTGTGATAGTATAGATATCTCGGTGGTCATACGACACCCTGGTGAAGCTTGACACATAGGTAGAGATGCTCAGTGGCAAATCTAATTCTTGAAGCTTTCGGACAGGAGACCTTGAGTTTATGAGGTCGAGATAAGTTGGAAACTTCCCAGGGCAAATTTGAGCTGATGATCTGCGCTTCCAACGGCGGGGGTTCCTTCCACAATACGGAATGCGCCTACACTGCAAAATCACAGCTTCTGATGTTTTGATGCTCCTGGGTTGACTTTTGATATCGAATTATAATACCGGACTTTCCGAGAGTCTAGATGAATTCGACAATGTATTATAGAGATTTTGGATTTTATACCGAGCACCCTCGCATTTCAATACCAAATTACTAGACTGTCACATTAATACAGGAAACTCGCAAGATTACTAGTCTTGCTATCTAATAATTATTTCTCGCATAGGGGTCGGACGGATCCACGCCATCGATTAATATTATGTCTAGCATAAGTTCCCAATTTCACCCCCACCAGGGCTGTCAATACGCTTGACGCTCCACTCCCGCCCGCCAAGCCTGGGTGGAGGTCTGCCGATTGGTGCCTGAAGGCTTACACTGCCCTAGGAGGGACCCTTTGATTGTGGCTGTCCCAATCATCAGAGATTCCAGTCGTCTTATACAATTAGGAGGGCGGTTCGACGAGGCCATAAAGTGGTGATTTCAGACTTTTGATATCGGACTCTGCTGGGCCTTATTCTTGAGTCCTGTCGGGCGGGAATAATGGGCAACAACTGATAGTATTTTATTTGTCTCCGCGGCTCTGCCGCCTGGAAATGATTATTTCTCAATGCACTTCAGTTACCTATAATCCCTACGTCATAAATTTCCGTACGCGCCGCCTTCCCACCCGAAATTATCAAACTGACCTAGCATTCCCTTTAGTAGTTACTAGTAAATTTAAATATATACAAGAATTGTACATTTACTCAGAAGCTCATTTTCTACTAGCTAAGACTAAGTATACCAGTCCTTTGTCTAAATAACTACCATACAACGTCTCGGCATAGACTGGTCCATTCAAGTACTACAACACACATTCAAAGCTTCTCCAGTACCTTTATATACCTTAGTATCAGAATTGAGCTGATGTGTTATTTCGTCCAGCCTTACCCGGGTAGATTTACTAGAGTTAAGATAATACGATTAGACAAATGAGTCGGCCACTTAATAGTGGTCTCGGAACTAATATTTAACCTTATTAACCATATGCGGAGTATGGGCGAGTATTGTTATGTGTAAATTCTAGATTAGGTTTCAATATAGAAGAGAGATTATCTTCTGGCATCTTACGATAGCTCTCTGTAGAGTAGTGCAACGGCGGGAAGCTATATAGGCCCGGCCAGGGCATTCTGAGCTACGATTCAGAGTGTTTCTGTTGAAGGTATACGGAACGGTTGGCTTGGAACATTGAAGCGATTCCCCACTTGTGGGCAAAGGGATCCTTGTATGAGCGAAACCACATATAAAACCGCTAAAATAGGCACTCAATACAGTGTTCTTTATCGCATTAGGATTTATGGTTCCTAAAGACATTCTAGGGGCCACTGTCAAACAAATAAAAAGCATGTAGGAAAACCGGCGTGGTTGCAGTTGATGCGTCGCGTACGGAAACATTTCGCGAGGACTGTACATCATTAGGATGGTGCGTTCCACGTAACGTGACTACCGTAGGAGAGCCGAGGATAGAAACAGCGAAGAAACAGCAGGGATGAAAAGAATCACTCAGATGAAAGGAAAAGAATTCAAATATAAAAACCTAGCCAGCCCTACCAATGATCCCCAGCCGATACCGTGGGATTATTGGGTGTCTAGGGAAAATCCTCAGGGATTTTATTACTACGACCGTATCCGCCCCAACGCTCCTTTTACAGACTGCTAGTAAAAGGGCGTCAGCCATGAGGCGGATTCGAACGGAGTCCCTGTCTGGCTACAGCAGTCACATGGGCTGTACCACCGGCAGCGATGACCACTGCACTATCCGGGACTCTATTGTTGTATGTGCTGTTTGCTAAAAACGTAAGGGAAGGCAGGATGCCCGATTAGGAAGGCGTGGGTGCCTGCCTGGGAAGGCCTCCAACTTTGGGATAGATCCTGGAGGCTATGCGGAAGGCCAATCCTGGCTTGCCCTGAATCTGTGTCCTGTCTAGTATGAGATATCTTTAGACAATGTCTGCTGTTGTGCATCTATACTTACGACAGTATCATCTCCTTCAAGGGTATATAACGATTATCATTCACCGATATGGTCAACCTGACTTTCACACAATTGACTCATATCCACTTCCCTCGTTCCATTCTTAGCAGAACTCAACCGTTATTACAAATCTGCTTTGGTCGGCAAGACCGGCAGAGAATGAAACGTCGAAGCTTGTATCTGTATAGGTATAACATGTCAAGGCTGATGTTACTGATTATAGACGTTCAACATCAGGACCGTCCTGACCGTCTCATCTATCCAGAACTCCACTCAATCGAAGAACAGGATTGCATCGGATCTTCAGTCCTTCTACAGCATATATCGAAACATCGGCGACCGATCCCCCATCTTCTCCATCTCCTCCTCGTCGTACCCTGACACGTCCATCCGGTCTCGTCTCCGATTGATCATTTGATACGACAGACGAAGGATCACCGCTGCGATCATGCCGGCGACGCAAAAGCCCAGTTCCAAGGCATGCCCAAGGATATAGTTCGGTGCGTCTTGAGAGCGGTAGAAGTTCGATGCCATGGCTGATTCTGTTAGCGTCATGTTCATTCAAACGATAATCACATTTCCAGAGAAAATGTCATACCACCAGCCATATTACCCAGGCCGATCTGAATAGCCATTCCGGACGCACGCTTATAGTCACCAGCGAGGTTGGCGCTGAGCCAGGTGATGTTGCCCGGAAAGGCAGGATATATACCTGTCTCTGTCAGGCTGCTGTTCCCGATTGGTAGCAAATCAGAATGTACATACCGACAACCGAGACGAATACACCGAAGTAAACCACACCGGGGACACCTCTGCCTGTTGAAGCAAGCACGATGATGAATCCGGCGGCGATGAGCCCCATGAAAAAGAGAACAAACGGCGACCGTTGTTTTCGGCGGTCTGATAGCCACGCAGCGACAACGGCAACTACAGCTGCCGTGATGTAGATCGGGACGGTGAGCAATTGGGCCGTCGACGAGGTATATCCGAGATCCTTGATGATCGAGGGGAGGAAAAGCGAGATACCATAGAGAGGACAGGTGATACCCCAGTACACTACGTTATCAGCATTGGTAGCACAATTCGTGGGTGGAGACATACCGATAATGGACACATAAATCTGCCAGTCGAGAAGGGCATCAATGACATATTTCATGCGAAATTCGGTGGCTTCCGAGGTTCCTCCTGTATTTTGAGTACGCAGCATGTGAATCACGAATCTTCGTTCTTCGTCTGTAAGGAACTTTGCAGTTTCAGGGAAGTCATGGATGGCGAAGGGAGCAATGAATGCTACTGCTATGGTGAGCAAGCCTTCCAAAATGAAAATCCAACGCCAGCCGGCGTAGCCTCCAACCCCATCCATTTTCTATTCCATACGTTACTAAGACTCGTTTAGTGGGATTACCGCGGTACCTACTGCAATTCCGTATGCTAAGAGGCCGGAGAACGCACCGGCGATACTGGCAGCACTAAAGAATAAGGCCTGTCGGAACTGAGCGCGGTGTCGAGGATACCACATGGTGATGTAGTATGCCACTCCGGGATAAAGGCCAGCCTCTAATCAGTCGACGCCGTTAGTCCAAGCGGAAATATGATTCGTTGCATCACATGGCCCTGTACTCACCAGCAACCCCCAAGAAAATGCGCGTGGATAATAGTCCTGCATAGTTGTGGACCACTCCCATCAACGTCTAATCCACAACCTGTCAGTCCCTTTACTGTAGTTACCATGAGCATCGGCGATATACCATGACAATACCCCACGCGACCATAAGTAACGGTAGCCACCTTGACGGTCTCATCTTCTTTAGCAACAGGTTACTCGGCAGCTCAAACGCAGCATACGTGAAAAAGAACACCGTCACTGCAAAGACCGATGGTGAGCCCATCATGCCGTATTTGAT